CAAAAGATTGCGCCATGTAGAAGCATCGGCCACAAAGCATGCATCGATATCTGATGGTGTCCGCAATGAGTGGATCTTGCATCATTTGAAGTCCAAACTGTGCTACTGTTTCAAGTGAAAGTCCAAAGGTGTCTGAGAACCCTGCATGCAGCTGCCATTTCTGTAGTGCATGTTGACGGCGCACCGCAGAGATGTGTTCCTGAGTGGACCACGCCATTGGTTGCAGTGCTGGACAGTGTCATTTGGGCATCATCAGTAGCAAAGCCATTTGCATCACATAGGGACATTCCATCATGTGTGTCAAATGATCCGGTACATCTTCTTCCTCTGTCGTCCATGTGGGAAGCATCGTGCTGCACCACTCACATTGCACAACCTCTGAGTTGAGATCCGCAAAAACTTTGGCGACCTGAGGCATCACATACTTGACTTGCTCCATGGTGACTTGGTGGATGACACTGAGATGAGCTCTGATCCTCCACAGTGGCACGTTCTCCTGACAGAGAAGACACCGGGTTTTGAGCATCAGCTCCAGGTCCCCGTCTTGCCAGAGCTTGTGAAAGTTCCTGGCCATCAGTGCCAATGTCACTCTTTGAAGGGCTTGCAGTGGAAGCATCTCACTGAGGCCCGTTGCGAGGTCATGTGAGCCATAGCTCCATGGGAGCACCACCTGCCAGTTGAACGAGTGCGCAATCCACGCAAGTTGAATGATGCCAACGCACTCATGATTCGGATGCCCCCAGCCCGGTGATGGGTTGCAAAAGCATCCCTGTTCCTGAAAGAGACTCCACTGAAACATCTCCTTGAAGGACTGGATGTCCTCCATGTGGGCTGGGTGCGCAGCGTGGAGATGTCGGTGAAGTTCATCTCCTTCCCGACAGTTGTGTCCACAAATCTGGCATATCCTCGTCAGGGCAAAGCGTAGATCAGGTTTGTCATACAGCAAGTGTGCACAGCCCAGCCACAGCAGCGGCTCAATCTGTTCCGTGGGAGAAAGCACCAAATCCGGTGGCAGCGGCGCAATCTGCGGCTGAAGCTGTCGTTCGTGTTCAAGCCTGAGCAAGATGAACTAGATGTAGAAGGTGCACACGTGTTTTGTGTGCTGTCGAGGTTGACAGATGCAGCCATACTGTGGTTTCCATCTGTTGTCCATGTTCAGTGCTCGTTGAAAACATTCATGCCATTCTGATGAGTGATTCAAGTGAAAATGCCGTGACAATTCCTGCTTCCTGGGAAAGGATTTGCCACAGGGAACACACCTCGTCGTCAGGAAAAATTGGATGTCCTCATGCTGCAGGAGGTCTTCGGCTCGATCTTGTTCAACGGCCTGGTGAAGGAGGCACATCAGATCCACTGAAAGCTCATCCATCGTGGAGCAGTCCTGTGTGGCTCGGTGGTATCTCCGCATGTGCTGTTGAAGGCCATGGTGCGTCGTGTACACCTTCCCACATTCAGTGCAGGCCAGCTGGGATGGCACATTGTGGTTGCTGTATCCCTCATTGATCAGCAAAAGTGCCATCTGTCGCACAATGTGACATTTGTGATACTGCTTGAATGAGGTCCCACACAACGTACAAGGGCTCTGAGTCGAGCAGTGCTGAAGCAATTCACTGTTTACTGATTCATGTTGAAGGAATTCAGCATGATGGTGGCGTTGCCAGTGAACATATAGGCCCTTTGTGGTGGTGCAAAACATGGAGCATAATGCACATGTATTGTGGAAGTACGTCAGCAGGTCAGTACGTGCTTCCAGTGCCTGGATCTGTTGGCTGCGTGCAAATTGCAACAGTTCCTGAACACGTAGACGATGTTCCACATCTTCCAGGTCCTGGGTGGTAGCGGAGCACACATACGTGACATGGTAATTGAGGCTTTCAAAGTTCACAAATTTGGTTTGACATCTGTTGCAAGTGGGTACACCATGGTGGACATCTTTCATTGTAAACGTTCTGAGAGCACCTGATCTGTCGTCATGCTCCACCGTCAGGTGTGCTCGCAGCCTGGTGAGGTTGGAAAACGGTAGCAGGCAGTGGGGACAAACATGGTGTGCTTCAGGCGTGGGCACCTCCAAATCGTATCGTCTGATCTGTTGCTGCAGCAGAAAGGCGTCAATGACCTGACATCGCTGTTGATAATCCATTGTTGGGACTCGGAAAAGGATGTCATCAGCTTGAAGATGTGCACGTCTCGCCTGGTCTCTGGCTTCTGCTTTGAGACATAGATCTCGTAAGATCAACAGCGGATGTGCCAAGTGATGTTGGGCAAGAAATGCTTCATGGGTATTCTTGTACAAGTGAATTGGTTCTCTGTGGATTCTGCGCAGTTGTCGTAGAGAGGCTGAGTATATCTGTTGGACTGAGTGAGGTGTCAGACCTACAGGAATCAAACCATATCTCATGCAGGCATATACACATTGTTGCCAGAGTTTGCATTTCTGGTGGCTGTGAAGACTGCGTTGCGCATGCAGCCATCTGTGAAGCTGTTGACTGACCTTCTCACTGGCTTTGATCCGTGCCAGAGCTGTTTGACGTTCAAATCCACGATAACTGACAGTAACGCCAAGGTATTGCACATGTGACACTAATTGGATGTGAGTGAAGGTGCCGTTTGCCCTGGGAATCTTGAGAAAAGTACACTGTTTGTTGCGCACCACATATTGTTTTTGCAGTTTGGCCGCAGCGGGTCCCTTCAGTCTCAGGAGTGCGGAAGTTTTGCTGATGTTCACATCCATCTGAAATTCTTCCAAAATGTCAAGTACGATACCTATGTGCCTGATCAGTTGGTGGAGCCGCTCAGGCGTGTCCACGGCCTGATGCATGCAAATGTCGTCCGCAAACAACGTCATGCAGTCTTTCATCCAGGTTGGGGATGTTCGGCTGGAGACTTCTTCTAAGAGCAGTGCTGTGAAGATCAGCCATAGCCCTGGTGCTGCTTTGCAGCCTTGTCGTATGCCACGTGTCGTGTCAAAACATCTGGTTTCGCCTCTGTACTCAAACTTGTATGAAGTACAGCTATACACAGTCTGCAAAAAGAAAATCAGGTCAGTTGAAATCTGTAGTTTGTGCAAACATTCCATCAATCGACTGCGATTCACATTGTCAAATGCCTTGGAAAGGTCCAGGCTGAGGAGCGCGCCGCCACAGACGGCTTGATTCGTGCCTCCCCTTGCAAGGCTATGGATAGTGTATTTTTGTGAATCACAAAGATTCCGGACATGACTGCAGTGAAGAATAATGCGATGAAGTGCATCATCCCCACCTCGCATCTTGGTGTAGGCAAATTGTGGGAGACTGTTGAGATGGGCCCCCGCCTCATGTTGGAGACGCTGCGCTAACACCCCCATACACACCTTGTTGCAGGGTTCCAACAGCGTGATGGGTCTGAGTTCCTTGGGAAGCAGACGCCTCTTGGCATTCTTCGGAATAAAGAAAAGTGTTCCTTGTGACCAACTGTCAGGAAATTCCCACTGGTCCACACAGCGCTGTAAATATTCCGTCAGCTGAGCGGCGATTGGTTCTGCTGCACATTGCCAATAGGGTGCCGGCGCACTTTCAGGTATCAACGCCTTCAACAATGGTAAATCATGAAACCCCTCTGCAAGTTCTTCCCATGTGAAAGGCCAGTTGAAGGGTGTGGCATGAATCTGAGTGCCTTCATCATTGTAAAGTTCTCCAAACCAATTCCGAAGACTGTCGGCAGCCTCAACAGGGTTCAAAAGAGTTCCTTGTGGATCGCATATCTGTATTTTCCGAAAAGGTTTTTTGGGAGCAAGTTCACGAATGACCTGGTAGAGAGTGAAGTGATCATGTGCTCTTTCTGCTTGTCCTGCCAAGTCAAATAATCGCTGAATCCGTTCCTTCCTGGCACGTTTGGATGCCGCTCTCATCTGGTGACGTGCATGCCCTCTCTTGCCAACATGGTACCAGGCCTGAAAGCAATTCTTCAAGGTGGGTTCCACCAGAGTGTAGAGCTGGGCTGTGTGAACCTGGAAGAGTTGAAAAGGCTTCAGATCTGTTGCATACCATGGTTGTGGTTGCACTGGATGTGCCTGCGGTCCAAAAGTGTTCAAGGTCTGATGCACTCGGTCCAAACACGCTCCATCCGTGGGCAGATTCTGGATGGCCTCATTGATCTGTTGTTGCAGTTGAATGGCCTGTTCAGTGGGATTGCGCCACTGTTTGTAAAGTGCCAGCCTCTGCTTCAATGTCCATCCCGTCTGCTTGGACGTCGGTGTGTGGTGCCATGCCTTCAGCAATGAAACCAAAATCGGAAAATGTCGAGCGCCATCAAGATGATTCAAGGGAAAATCCTGAAGATAATTGACCCTTTTGGAAGTTGTGTCGGAAAAATGTCGTCGGCAGATCACAAAATCAATTCTTGAGTGTCTATTCTGAAAACGAAACGTTGGTCCTAGATCATGTTGCCATGTATTGAGAGCTACCAAATCATGCTGTTGAAGAAGATTGTGAAAAAGATGTCCATCTGTCGATTGAGGACCCTGGCATCTCTTGGTATCTTCAGCATATGTCGGCAGTCCAGTCGTGGTGGTACTTCTGGTCAGTGAAGTGTTCCAGTCTCCCATCATGATCAGGTTATTGCGTTTCGGCAAATGTGTCATGGTGGTCTGCAAAGTTGTCCAAAAAGTCATCCTATCTTCCATGCGATCATGAGCATGTACATGTTGATATGCATTCAAAATGTCAATGCTACGATTTTGTCCATGAATCCGAATGTGCATGAGTCGGCCAGGGAGCGGTTCATCCCAAGAAATTGCATCCGATTGGCACAGTTGTTTGGATATCAGTGTGAGAAGGCCGTGTGTGTGTGCGTGTGTGTGTGTTCGTTTGTTTTTTTCCAAACACGCCTATTTTGCTGCTGCATAGGTCTGTGCAAGACCACATTGATCTGGTATCAATGGTTCCTGGTTGGAATCTGTCGGCCTTACATGAAGAAGAAAGGTGAAAAGAGCACTTGGAGAAATTTTGGAGGTCATCTGCATCCTATCGTTGACGTTCTGCCATCGACGTTGCTTGGAGCAGGGCCATGATGGCCGCCGTGGTCTCATCCTGTGGTGGCATTTGGATGGGGTCTGCTTGACATGCAAACTCAGGCAAAGGATCGTCAGCCGTCACTGGCAGGATCGTGGGTGATGTCTCGTGCTGTTCATGTACCGTCATTTGCAGGGCCTGATATGTATGAAGCTGTACACAATCTGAGCGCAGCAGCCAGAAGAGATTGGTATTGCTTCGAAACCAATCTGGTACCAGCCATACTGGCTTGGCTTCAGAGTCATCATTTGTGATGAGCCAATGCATGGGCTGGCCACTCTGTTGCACTGCCGGTCTGGTTTTCAAGGCTGCTCGGAAATGGCCACTATGTGCATCGCCCAAATGTGCCGTGGCAGCTATCAACACATACCCCACAAATTCACGTCGGAGAGATTGGTCAATGAAGACCTGTACATCACATCCTGCTTCCATGTCAATGAGGCACTGGCTTTTCTGAATATTTCCTTCTGTCGCAAAGAACCTGTCAAGGTGAACGCAAATGCATTGAGGAGCCTGCTTCAATGCCGCAATCATTCCATCTTCCTGCATCCAGCGGCGCAACAGGTGTGTCAATGTAAATTGAGTGTCTGGCAAATGTGCATGAGTGTCAGGAAATCAGACAGTGATGGGCATGAAAGCATCACCGTGATCGTGCACTGTCACCGCATCAATTTCTTCGACGCGCCGCTCCCAGGTCATATTGACAGCTGGTGCTTGGAGCCAGGTCATGACAGCAGTTGCAAACTCTGATGCATCCTGTTGTCGTCCCCTCTGATCACCCGCAAAGGCATCCCAATTTTGCAGAATCTGATCAAACCAACTTAAGTCAGTCAATGCTACACTTTGCAAATTGTGACATGGCAAAAATTGGATCAGCTCTGCAAAACGCATCCCCAATGAATCTGAATCACACTGCAAGGACATCAATGACCAGAGCAAACTGAAAATGGTGCTGTTGGCGTAGCACCAATTTGAAGTGTTCCTCAAACGCAAGTGACTCAGAACATGTAGCAAGATTGTCAGCTGTGGGCTCACTTCTGGGTCGTCTGCTGGTTGGGCGACTTGTGTTTGCCCTTCCCTTTCCCCTTGCGGGGCTGATGGCCCAGTGACTTCTGAATTGTGTCCGCCAGTCCACATTGGTTCAATGCATGTGGTTTGAGCATTGTACCCAGGAGGGTCCACACGCTGCTTCGACTCATCCTGTTGAGGAGTTCCCACTCCCTGTCGGCTCTGGGACAGAGTTGAAGTCTCCAGGGGCAGATCTGTGCTTCCGGTGTGGTCTGAAGGGACCTGAAGCTCATCACCAAGTCTGGGTTCTTGAACATTTCCACCAGTTCCTTGACGTGCTGGGTCATCAAGGTCATACTGATTGGTGTCTTGGTGCTGGTCATCAGTTGTTTGGCCTTGGGATCCCATTCCAGAAACGGCCAGTTGCCCTCTGCATCGATCAGCTGGCTCTGAACTGAAGCCTGGTACAGTTGATCCTCCTGCTTGGCCTCGGAGATCTTGAGCACCTTCACCATGAGATCCTGAAACAGACACTGTGTCAGGTGCTGCCGCAACGTCATCATCGGAATGGTGGACGCTTTGCGTTGCTCCTGCCAACTGGTCGTGGCATTCAACAGTCCCTGCAAGCCGCCCTTGGGATCTCGGTTGAAAAAAAGTACAAAGCTGTCTGCTCTGCGGCTTTGATTGAGATCTCGGTCGTGACGAAGGACCAGTAGGGCGAGCTGCTGGACCAGGGTGGTGAGATGCTGCAGCTGTGGTGTCTGGGCTGCCAATTGACTCTGTGGGACCTGCAGTGGCGGATCCTCGTGCTGGTGTTTGCTGCGTTTTGGCTCTCTTGGATTGGGGGACAGCTGCACTGATCCTAGCAGGGGCGCCAGGCCCTTGAAGGTTTCCAGCACTTGCCGTTGCGCCAGCAGATCTGACGCACTCATCAGTGAGGTGTCCATCATGCAGCAGGCCAGTGAGGAACAGCGCAATTTGCAAAAGGCATGGACAATTGTATAGCAAATGGGAATGAGCCAACTTCTGGCGCGCAGGATCAGGTGCTGCGTCTGGTGATGCAGGCAGGTTGAAAATCTGCAGGCATGCATAACACTGGTAATCAACTTGTTGATGTGTCAGCATCAGCGGAACCAACTGGGCAATGTAAAAGGACAATGTTGAATGATGGCATGGGTGAGCCTCACGCAAATGCTGTGGCGATGCACTGGCATCACATTCTCGTCCACAAAGGATACATTGGGAGCACAGTGTGGTCAAGGACTGGGTGTCCTGCCACATACGTGCATATTCATGCTGTGCCGCAATCTGTTCAAAGTGGTGTCGCGTGGGCTGATCAAGCATACGTGACAGCAACATTTTCGAAAGATTGTCTTCTGCCTGAAAAGGAGAAAACAGTTGGTTGTCCATCTTGTTGAACAGCATGGCAAGATGCCTCAAGGGCATGCACACGTGATCCAGTCGATTCTGGTGTAAGGCCGGGTTGCACACACATTTTCCATTGCCGTAAAACAGACTGACCAAAATCAACGTCAATTGTTGAGAGCAGCGCCATACTCGGGCATGACTTCCCTGAAGATGACATGAAAGGTCTGTGGCACGTGCATAGCGTACACCACAAAGTTGACAGTGCAGCGTGAGTGCCAATTTCCTCTGTGAATTGGTGAGGATGATTTTCATTTTTCCCCCCAGGCAGGCCTGCAACCAGTCGTCATGCATCGGCAATGTCTCGGCCGTTGCATCAGCTCGAAATTCCAAACATCTGCCCTGGTTGATGTGTCGTGCAAAGCCCCACAGTGCGCGCAAGCTGGGCTGCCAGCTACGCTGTCTCTGGCCACATTGAATGTCATCCCCTGCAACGCATGAGCATTTCTCAAGTGCTCTGTCAGTGATGCAAGGTCTTCAAATTGGTCGAGGCAGACTTCACAGCGCAAATTGGGAGATGGTGCCTCAACGTTGTCAGGAGTGTCATGTGGTACTCCAACTCCGTACAGGAGAAGCACTGCTACCTGCACCCACACCGGGCAAAGGTGTGACTTGAACAATGCACCGCAAAAAGGGCATGGGCGTTCAGTGGCCCAAGTGTTCGACATGTAAACTGCACGTTGAGGAACCCCTTCCCAGTACTGGCCATGCATGGTTCTGTAATGGGCATTGAGTTCCTGTACACGGTTGTAGTGAAGGCCACACAAAATGCACCGTTTGGCAAGATACTGACATGCTTCTGGCAGTTCTGCAAGTCTATCCCAATCCCATTGTTCAAGGATCTGGCAGAGTGCTAGACCAAAAGGGGTCCCCCTCAGGTTACTCAGCTCCGTCTCAGGAATCATGGTTGAGTGTCGGACCGCAAACTCACCAGCCGCAAGTGCAGTGCCAGTCATATATGCTTGCACTCCCTGCACCGTGGTCGGCTCAATGGCGCAGGGGCCAGTGTACAGGACCTGGCAGCCCCGTTCAATGTGTACTTGGAATCTTCGCCATGTGGTGAAAAGCTGTCCACAGTATTTACATTCAGGAAGGCCAGTATGGGTAAATTGGGATGCAATAGCAAAATGATGTCTGGTTACCATTTTACCATGAATCATTGTGCAGTGTCTTCTCAATGTGGCAACATCATTGGCAATAAAGTCACAGAGACTGCAGTGATATATGTCAGTGTCACTGGGTGCAACACGTGACACGGCAGGCTCGACAAGCCGTGGACACAGGTCCTGAGTGCTGTCCAAGGTATTCACAAGATCTTCAAGGTGGCTCCAAGGCAGTTGCAGAGCAAGATCATCAGCATGCAACAGGGACATGCGTTGAGTGATTGACCGCAAAAGCTGCTTGGCAGCAGCTCTCAAGAGCTGCAATGGCGTGGGAAGGCCGGCTAATGACAGTGCCTGTTGATTGCTGTGTCCAGTACGAAAGGCATGATCACAGGCTACCTGGCGTAGCATTTTGTACATTTCCTTCTGCAAAATGGTGATGCCATGTGTGGTGATGCCAGTGGAAAAAATGCCATATGTGAGAACTGGAAAAACAGTTGAACGCCATAAACGAAACCTGTGAAAAATTTTGAAGTCATGCTTTCCCGGAGCCATCGTCCAAGTCTGCGTTGTGCATTTCGTGCAAGGCACAGGCGGTGTTTCAAGGTTGCAGTTGAGCAGTCCTTGTATGTCATGATTGTGCCAAGATATGTCACAGTGGGTTGTGCAGGAATCTGGATCTCGTCTCCATTAGGCAGTGGAATGCGCAGCTGTTCACTTTTGTTCTTGGTGGTCACAAATTGCGCTCTCTGATGTCTATGGGACGTGCCCGCAATGGTCAGGAGTGCAGCTGACTTCTTGGGGTTGATACGCAAGGAAAAATCATGCAGTGTTTGCAACAGGATGCCAAATGCTTTCAACAGCAACCGCAAATCATCAACTGAATAGAAAATGCCTCCGACCTGGTAGTCGTCGGCGTAAATATTGAGGTGATGACGTAACCATGCAATGGGGATTTGCTGGGTTACTTGTTGCAAGTACAGGATCAGAAGGAAACTCCAAAGTCCTGGAGCAGCCTTGCATCCCTGCCGCAATCCAGCACCGGTAGGCAAGGCTACTGTGTCACAGCCATGCTGGAAATGATACTGTGTGTTGATATGCCAGTGTGTCAACAGTTGAATGACAGCAGGCCGGATATGAAGTTTGTGAAGTTGGCTGAACAATTTCTCCCGTGAAGCACTGTCGAATGCTCTTTCCAAGTCCAGCATGACGGACACTCCACCACAAAAACAATATTTGGGTGCTCCAAATGCCCTGGCATGTGGGGCCGGCTTCTGGGACGCAACCAGTTGGGACACCTGTTGACAATGGGAAGCAACTCGACAAACCGCATCAAGCGTCGATCTGTTGGGGAGAGAGGCCCAAAGCGGCCAGGGCAGCATGAGCGGCTTTGCATCGGCACATGCACATCGAATTAGCAGGCCTATCACAGCCTTGCCGACAGGATCTTGCAAGGCAATCGGCCTCAAATTATACGGCGTTGTAGCCGGCTTGTGTGGTTTGCCCAGCATCATCATCCATCCATCCCTCCAGATCTGAGGAATATATGGCGGGGTAGTACTCCACCAATTACACAAAATTTGGAAAAGTATGGGGGCAATATTATGACTTTGGGTACGCCACACAAGGCCTGGAGCAAACGGTTGTGCCACTGCACTGTGCAAAGGAATGCTGCTCAATGCTTCAGTTAACTCCGAAAGGGTAAATGGTACCCCCGGGGCCTGGGTGAAGGTCATGGGGATGTGACTAGGTCCACCCCATATGTCAGCCACAAAATGTTTGAGAATCTCGAGTTCTTCTGATGGGGTTGCAATGGCACCCATGTGATTGCGTATCTGGATCCTACGTCTCACAGTCTTGGGGGCATATCGATTTATCAAACTGTACATGCGGTGCATATCGTGTTTCTGGGCCGCTTCTTCAGCAGATTGCACAATATTGAGAAAGATGGAACGTCTGATCTGAGCAGAGTGCTTTCGATGACTGCGCTTCAGGGAGGCAAATTTCGTGAGATGAAACCATGCTCGGAACACTCCAGCACCTGTACATGACTTGATACGCATGAGGATGCCTCTGCGTTGCCATTTGTTAAGCACTAAGTGAGTGGAATGTTTCCAAGGAACCTGTGTTTTGGGAGCACTCATCGGTGGAAAATGTTCATGAAAACACTTGTTGACAGCATCATGTAATGAAGTCAAATTGGCTACGTGAAATTCTTCTGAGTGCTGCACCTGTCGAAGTTCCTGCATCATCACATCAGCAGTATGCACTGCAAAGGCTTGCCATTGGGCCGTATCAGCTTGATGGTCAGCATGTGCCTGCTGGCATTGCTGTTTGCTGATGCCTCGCTTTTTCAGAGGGCCTGTTTGAGCCCAATAAAGTGCAATCTGATGAGCAATTGGCACATGTCCTTGCTTGGTTGGTCCCATGAAAGGTGCATCCCACAAATACCGCGGCTGCTTGGATACTCCATCAGCCTGGGCCTGACGTACACATGCATGATCAATCTTGCTGGATTGCTTGCCATGTACATATGTTGGACCATCCCGCGCGTTCCACGTAGTAAGTGTGGTTAATCCGTGGAAACGAAGGATTGACAGCAGGCGGCCTGCATCTTGATGCTGGGAACCACGCATTAAACGGTTGTCCCACCAATACCATTCACTGCCTGAGTGGGGTGGACACTGCGGCACATTGGTGTTGAAATCAGCCATTAGGAGGAGCAAGTTCCTATGTGGGAGATTTTGCAGAGTACTGTCAAGTTGTCCCCACCATTGCTCACGCATCTGGAGACATCTGGTTCCACGTTTGTCCACATGCTGATATCCACAAAGCAGGTCAAGCGGTCTGGTTTTGGTAGGGATTCTCAGGTGGAGCAGGCGTCCAACAATGATTTCATTCCATTTCAGATCCCGTTCATTACAGAACCTGCGGGAAATGAGTGTCAGGATTCCCATGCCCTTGTCGCCAGACTGTCCTGTATGAATGTGGATCCAGTCAGGATCAAGCCACTCACCGGTATATTGCCATCTCGTTTCCAGCAGGGTGACAATCTGGAAACATTGCTGGGATAGCCAGGCTTTGATTTCGTCCAGCCGGTGGTTGGACAACCCCCTACATTCCACTGCAGGCATGTCAGTCTGGATTGGGTTCCATGTTTACGATTACACTGCATTTGAGCATGAGGGGGTACTGTGGTCTTGTGCACGGTGTGCAGGTCTGTGTCGGGCAAAGTGGCATGAAATGAAAATCGGCAGGCCTGTACAGTCTTCCTTGGTACCAGGCAACCCCATGTAGGGCAGCCCGTTTTTGGGCTCTTTTCAGGCTACGTTTCTTCACAGCTGTAAGGCTTGGGCTCTGCAAGTCAGAGCGGGCTGGTGGTCTTTCGTCATGTTGCTTCACGTCAGTTGGTAAACAAGGCCAAGTTGAATAATCTGACGTTCCAGTGACCCCCATGACTGGGTCACGACCCTCACCCCCATACCCGGCAAGGAGTGTCATCGTTGCTAGCAAAGCTAGTAAGACCTGGTTCAGTCTTGAGAAACCTCTGTGCCAGGTATGCCCGGACTTGGGACCGGGTTTGCCACTACGTCTTGAAGAGGTTGGAAGTGATGCTGGGCTCTCACAAGGTTGGATGGGGCAATGGGTGGTAATCAAGTTCAGGGTCCGTGCCAAGATCAAATAAAACTTGTTGAAATAGAAAATCAATCCTCTGTGCCAGCTCGTGAAAATCAATGACGCAAATGCAATTGAAACCAGAAAAATTATGTATGTTGCTGTTGTCTGCCCCCAGAGATACCAAAGGCAGTTGAAAAGGTCAGCACCCTGAGGTATGGACAGTGTGATCAACAATCTATGGAGATAATGCAAAAACGAAATCAGCTGTGAACTCCAGGGCAAAAAAGTTGGAGTGATCTCGCGCCAGTGCAGTTCAAGGTGCAGCCACCAAAAACTCAGGTAGGAAAACCCACCGCCAGCTCTAGGATGACTCCACTTCTGTCCACAGAGGTTGTATGAGTTTGTTGCAGTTGCCAAGGTCAGGATCCAGTGACAGCGTGTATCCTTGTAAATGAAAATAGTGCACAATGTACGCCGCTCTGAAAATTGGCCAGTGAAATATGATTGTGGGGAGCCACCCCCGTCTGAGACCTTGACGTCGTTGCAACCAGGACCAAAGCCAGTCAGTATTCGGGAGCGTACCCCGCAGTGTGGTCCAGTGGCACCAAGGTTGTGAAATGAATTCCAAGTCTGAAACTGTGTTGTGATCGTCACGCAAAGTCTGATTGTATGGAGCCCCTGAAGAAAATCAGCTGAAAATAAAATGGAAAATTCACCGCCGTCGTATACTTGGATTGTGATGCAGCAAGGACCCAAGCCAGGCAGAAATCGGGAGCTTACCCCGCAGTGTGGCCCTTGTGCACCGTGATTGCAAACCAAAGACCAAATCTGTAAAGTGGCAGCAGCAGCAGCAGCAATGTTGGAATGGATTGTACTCAGCACCTGGAAAAGGCCAGTGGAGTCCAAAAAAGGGGAGTCACCCCCGTCCCAAATGCTGATTGCTATGCCACCGGAGCCCAAGCCAGTCAGTTTTCGGGAGCTTACCCCGCAGTGTGGCCCAGTAGCACCGTGATTGTAAAACCAAATCCAAATCTGGAAATTGACTGCAGCAGCGACGTTGAAGTGTATAATGCTCAGAACCTGCAAATGGCCAGTGAAATGGGGAAAAGGGGAGCCACCCCCGTCCTGATCGTTGATTACAGTGCAACAGGAGCCCAAGCCAGTCAGTGTTCGGGAGCTTACCCCGCAGTGTGGCCCTGTTGTGCTGTGAGTGCAAAAATAAATCCAAATCTGAGAAATTGCAGCTGTAGGAATAGCGTTACAATGTGTTGTATGCAGCACCTGAAAAAGGCCAGGAAAATGAGAAAAAGGGGAGCCACCCCCGTCCCAGGTGCTTACGGTGATGCAACAGGAGCCCAAGCCAGTCAGTAATCGGGAGCTTACCCCGCAGTATGGCTCTGTTGCACGCTGGTGTTGTACTCTGTCGCTGCAGCAAAAATAAAAAGCAAAGCTATGGCACTGGAAAGCCCTGTGGCAATTTGAATGATCCAGGTCCTGGTTTGAAACGGTCGACAGCTGCAACAGGGTCGGCAGCCCTTTCGTCCAAGTCTGGGATGTCCAATCAGTTACTGAAGAGAATGTTGTAAAATCTTGCACCTCAAAATGGCCAGTGAGAGACAATTCCGGGGAGCCACCCCCAATGTTGTACTCAATGTTGGTGCAACAAGAGCCCAAGCCAGTCAGTTGAAATCGGGAGCTTACCCCGCAGTGTGGCCCTGTTGCACTTGAATTGTAAAACCTGTTGGATAGATTGATGGGACAGTCAGAAGGGATGCCCAATCCCAGTGCTGCAAAGGAAAATATGAGTTGGATCCACGTGTTTCGTAAACGAAAAAGGTAGCAAAAGCTGCTACCTGCCAGTGATGTCGTTTTGTCCCAAGGAAGATTGTGCCAGTTGCAGTGTCTGGTGCAGATCAAATCTCAAAGTAAATCAGGTTCCAAGCAATGAATGAAACAGCAAAAGTTCGAAAACAAATGGCTGACACGGCGAAAGGAAATCAATGGCACCACAACGACCCCAAATCGAAAGACACAAGCTAAGGGCCACCCTCACCAATACCGGCACTTGAGAGCCACTCGGGGGTGGCAAAGGGGCTTGTGTGTGTGTGTGCATGTGTGCATGTGTGCATGTGTGCGTGTGTGCGTGTGTGCGTGTGTGCGTGTGTGCGTGTGTGCGTGTGTGCGTGTGTGCGTGTGTGCGTGCGTGCGTGCGTGCGTGCGTGCGTGCGTGTGTGCGTGCGTGTGGTGGTGTGCGTGTGTGCGTGTGTGCGGGTGGGTGCGTGTTGTGCGTGTGTCGTGTGTGCGTGTGTGCGTGTGGTGCGTGTGTGCGTGTGTGAGTGTGTGTGCGTGTGTGCGTGTGTGCGTGGCGTGTGTGCGCGTGCGCGTGTGCGCGTGCGCGTGCGCGTGCGCGTGCGCGCGTGCGCGTGCGCGTGCGCGTGCGCGTGCGTGTGCGTGTGCGTGTGCGTGTGCGTGTGCGTGTGCGTGTGCGTGTGTGTGTGTGTGTGTGTGTGTGTGGGCAACCCCTGTTCCGAAGGGCTTTCATCACATGTCCAATTTTTAGTTTCAGTTTCCAATTTACAAGCAGGGGCAC